AAAGTCTTCACTGGGTCTCAGGGGGATTGTTGTGTCAACCATTGTCCACTCGTGAAAAACGAGCCGGTAGTCCCTTACTAGGTCCCTCCTCTCTTGTCCTTCCCCGCAGTCATTCTGACCGCCTTTCCATTCAACCTCCCCAATTTTCCCCCCATTTTCCCCTCCAAGCCAGCTCAGGCAAAAATCCTTAATTTTTTGTTGGATGTCTTTTGGTGAATGTAGTAGCTGTATCTGCGCTCTGACTTTCTCCCATTTTTCTGAGATTTCAGTTTGAATATGTTGTTGTATGCTTTCTGTGAACTCTGGACCTTCCAGACGTGCTCCTTCCATTTCATATGTGCAACGCCGTCGCCAGAGGGCCCAGAGCACCGCCCTGCGGCTCAGTTTGAACATATTATTGGTGAAGTCACCGAGTTGGTCATGGGGGTAGGTTTCACATAGTAGGGCTTTCCACTCCCACGACCACCGGATCTGGGTTTCTAATTGCTCCCAGATTCTATCCCACCATCTCCACAGCCACACTGCGCCAGGGCACTGAAGGAAAATGTGTTTGATTGTTTTTGGCACTTTCCTGGAGGGGAATGCAACTGTGCAGAACCTACACCAGGGGAGGGCTAGCCCTTTCTGTTATAGGTTGGTTCTTGTGATCAGCCAATCATTTGTTGGCAGGCAGCGGTGCTCAATCTGCCATTGCAGCGACGCGAATTTAGCTGGTTTTTCCTTTATTGTCCTGAACCACTTTATATTTCTCAGCTTATTCTTGACGACATTTAAGTGATCCATCCAGCGTGCCTCTACCCGGTCCTTGAGATTCATTTTTGGCCAGAGGAGTCTGTAGGTCGATTTTATAGTCAGATCGTATAATGATCTGGTGAGTTTCCTGCCCTTTCCCACCGGTGTCGTCCATGCCCATTCTGCGGAAACCAGGGCGAGTTGATAGATCGGGGTCCGGGGGCGAAAGGCAATCCATCGCTCCTTTTCGTAGAGCACTTTGATTCTGAACAAGCCTTCTTTCTGGCATAGAATTGTTTCTTCTGGAGATGTTCTTTGGAGTATGTTGTTTTGACCGATTTGGAGGAGATTGATTCTAACAAGACCATCCGGTTCGCAGTTAACAACACTGCCTACCTGAGTGGGGTGATCCCCCAATGCCACCTAGTCAGATTCTTGAAGGACAGGTCCTTTCCTTAGAATCCTCCACCAGGCCAGGGGGATCTTGTCAATTATGTTTTCCAGGGCAACTTCCGGTCGATGACAGTAGCGTAGTCTCTTTCTTAGTTGGTCTGGACCGATACAGTTCTTTTGTTCCTCATCCCATATATCGTGTATCCTTGTTACACCCCGCCTGATCCAGCCCTGCCATGGGGAGTCCATGCAGTGGAGGGTTTGGCCTTTGGAGTCTGTTATCCATCTATTTCCAAAGAGCGGTTGCCGTGCCACCTCTTCCCATCTTTCGGGTGGGATTTTATCCGGCAGGGGTATAGTTCTCCATATTTTCAGAAGGTCTGGCCAGAAAGGGTCGTTTCACAGGTCGGCCCTTGCTGCTTGTCTAGGTGAGTCCGGGGGAGGGTGATCCTGCCACACTCCTCGTCTTGGGATGGGCCATTCCCTGTTTTCTAGCCACATCAGCGGGTCACTCTCCTCTGCTGTTTGAGGTGCCAGGCGGGAAAGCTGTTCCAAGGCCAGGGCCTTCCATGGGGTGTCGGGGCAGAAAAGGAGGCGTTTGAGCCATTGTAGCGCAAGAGACCTAGTTTGTAGTAAGGGATCTATTACGCCCAAACCTCCTTTCGATTTGGGTTGGGTTATGGATTGCCAAGCCACTCTGCTGATAACATTGTTCTCCTCATGTTTACCTCTCCATAGGAAGGCAGCTATCTGACGCTGCAAGGGGCGCAGGGCATTCTTGTCCAGGGCCCAGATTGCTGATTTATACCACAGTGAGGCCAAAATAACGTTATTTATTATTAGGGAGCGCCCTATCAGCGAGGTATGTTTGTTCTTCCATAGTTCCATCTTTTCCTGGGGGGGGGGCAGAGATCCATTGATTGTTTGTAGCTGGCCTACCTTCAATTGACATCAGCACCCCTAGCACCCGAAGCGGGGCTTCTTTGGGCAACCATTTAAGTTTCGGTTCCTCAGGGGGGCGTACTCCTTGGTGGTGTATCCACCAACCCTGGGTTTTGTTTCCCCAGTTGACCTTCATGTCTGCCAATCTACAGAAGCGGTCCATCATGTGTTGGACTTCCGCCATCGATGCATGGGAGGCCTCGATCATTAGTGTTAGATCATCCGCGAACAAAGAGC